TATATGTTTTTTGTCCTTGGTTCTATTGATACAGTGTATTACATTTATTGATTTGCATATGTTGAACCATCCCTGCATCCCTGAGATGAATCCCACTTGGTCAGGGTGTATGATCTTCTTGATGATCTGCATTGTATTTGCCAGCATCTTATTAAAGATTTTGCATCTAAGTTCATTAGTGAGATTGGCCTATAGTTCTCCTTTTCGGTTGGGTCTTTCTCTGCTTTGGGGATCAAGGCATTGCGTGCTTCCAGGAATGAATTCAGTATTGCTTCCCTTTCAATTTCATTGAAGAGTTTAAACAGTAATGGCAGTAGTTGCTCTCTAAATGTCTTGTAGAATTCAGCAGTGAAGCCATCAGGACCTGGGCTTTTCTTAGTTGGTAAGTTTTTAATTACATTTTCTATTTCATGGATTGATATTGGGTTGTTTAGAATTTTTAGGTCTTCTTCATTCAACTTTGGTAATTCATACATTTCTAGGAATCTGTCCATTTCTTCTGTGTTTTCCATCTTATTGGTGTATACTACTTTCATGTTGCTTTTGGATGCAGCTAGCATGACTCTGGTATTGGTCTTTGTCTGGTGGTGTGGCTCAAAATTATATTCTTGAAGGGATGGGACCTCTAATGGCTGGAATTGGGTTGTTGTAGTTTCCCACTAAGTTCAATCCTGGGGAATGGTAGTTGTCATATCTCAGCTGCTAAAACAAAATACATAAGTAAATAACTTTGTCCAAGAGGGACATCAAAACAGGTTATGCAGTTCTCAGTTCACAAATTACTGAAGCAAAACCTTTTCCCTCTGGTACTGCTGCTCAAAAGACAGATCTAATAGCTCTTACTTGTGCACTGATAATAGGAAAAGGCTATATATATTATATTTATATATATTTCAAATATGCCTTTCTGGTGCTACATGCTCTGTTGCTATCTGGAAAGAAAGGGGCTTGCTAACTAATAATCATCTGTAAAGCACAAGGTGAAAATTCTACAAGTCCTAGAGGCAGTCCATCTTCCTTAGCAGCTTCCAGACATTCATTGTAAGGGACACCAAAGAGACATGTCTAAAGTCTCCTTGGGAAATCAAAAGGCTGACAGGGAAGCAAAAAGGGTGGCCTTACATCTCCTTAAGACTCTAACCTTATTCTCAGTTCCTGAGGAGCCATTAAAACCAGTCTATACTCCCCAGGAAAATAAATGGGCCTTAAGGCAAGGGGGAATTAAAAAGGGACTCTGGTGATATTTAGAAAACAAACTGATCCTTCTTCAAGGGACATAGAGGAAGGCTATAAAAACACTTCATGATTCTTTCTATATGAAAAAAGATGCTACATTGGAAATAGTTACTCAAATTTTCACAGGACTAGGACTAGTGGCAACAACCTGACAGGTCTGCAAAGCTTGCCCACTCTGTGCCTACAAGAACCCTGTCAAGCTGAAACTTTGTTAGAACTTGTACAGAAGAGAGAAACATACCCTGGGGAAGACTGGCAATTAGACTTTACCCATATGCCACCATGCACGGGATTTAAACAGATGTTGGTCCTAATTGACACCTTTACAGACTGGACTGAAGCCTTTCCTACCTGTTCAAAAAAAAAGGCTATAGAGGTAGTCAAAGTGCTTTTTACAGTGGGGAATATTACAAGAATAGATACAGGGATATATAGAAGCCATAACCCAAACCAAACAATGTTTTTCAAAAAGACAATAGTTATGTACAGAGGATGTCAAGACCTCAAGTTCTAGGGGTCTGTGCTGTGATTCCCCTGTGTCTGTCAAAGAGCATCTCTACCAGTCACTAACACTTCAAGCACCATCACATCTGATGATCATACCTTTTCAGTGGCAAAGCAGCTTGCATAGAAGCTTGGACCTATTACAGAGCCTTCTGTTGTTCTAGACTCACTGAAAACTGGCAGCATTTCAGGTTAGGTGGCACATCAAAATGAGGAACATGTGGTCTGTGCCATTCAAGGAGGCCTACTAAGTGCTATGCCTCTGTTGTGGCTGAAGAAGGGACCAGATACAACACCTTACCTTTCACCTTAGAAGGGAAATTTAACATGCCCCACACTACTGAGTCTTAGAAATTTCAGTGAAGTGCCTGAATTTTTGTCAGATTTATTCCCCACCCTTTGATATACAAATATTTTACCAGTAAGTGTATAGAAGCTGCTACTTGTTGCTAGGTACAATCAGCATGTTGTCAATGTAATGGCCCAGTGTGATGTCTGCTGGAAGGGAAAGGTAATCAAGTTACCTATGGACTAAATTATGATATAATGCAGAGAACTATATCCCTCTGAGGTAGGACAGTGAAGGTATATTGCTGGGCATGCTAGCTGAAAGCAAATTGCATCTGGTGGTCCTTGTTGACAGGGATAGAGAAAAGGTCATTTGCCTTATCAATAGGTATATACTAGATACCAGTGGATGTGTTAATTTGCCCAATGAAACAACATCTGGATCAGCTGCTACAAGTAGAGTCACCATCTGGTTAAGTTCATATAAAAAAGTACCTAACTGGTTTCTGCATAGACCAATAGGAAAGTTGAGTAGGGATATGGTGGGAATCCTACTCCTACATCTTTGAAGTCCTTGATGGTGATTATATTTATTCTTTAAATGTATAAAAAAGGTCTGGGGATGTGGCTCAGTGGTAGAGTGCCTGCCTAATATGGGTGAGCTCCTGGGTTCAGTTCTCAATACTAACACACACACACACACACACACACACACACACACACACAGAAAAACCAAAAACAAAATGTTTAAAAACCCAAAAAGTGTAAGAAAATTAATTTATTATTTAAAAGAAAGAAATTATCTGAGCCTGAAGTTTTTGGTGTGGAAAATTTTTAATTATAAATTAAAATTTTTAAATAAGCATAGAGCTACACAGATTATCCCTTCCTGTTTTTGTTTTCCTAATCTGTTGTTGCTTTGTTTTCAATTTTGATTTTTATTATCTTTCTTGTTTCTTTGTTTCAACTTATTTAAGTTTAACTTGTTCTTTCTTCTAGGTTTTTTATTTTTTAACTAAGGGTTGAATCCAGGGCTTCACACATGCTAGGGAAGTGCTCTACCATTGAGCTATAACCCACTCCTATTTATTTTATTTTGAGATAAGGTCTCACTAAATTGCCTGAACTGGCCTCAAACTTGTAGTCTTCCTGCCTCAGCTCCTAAGTGCTGGGATTACAAGTGTGCACTACCACACCTGGCTTTGATTTTTAAAGCTTTATAAGAGAAAAACCAAGATCTTTGGATTTAAATCATTGTTATTTTGAGACTAGAAATTAAGACTAGAAATTTCCTTCTAAGCACTACTTTCATTGCATCACACAAATTTTACTGTATTGTCTGTCATTATTAATCTATTTGGATATTTTCTACGTAACTCCTTTGATATTTAAAACTATATTGTTTCATTTCAAAATACATGGATATTTTACAGATATCATTCTTAATTCCATTGTAGTTCCAGAACATGCTCTGCAAGATTTCAATTCTATGATTTATTGATTCTTATTTTATGGCCCATTATGTAGTCTTTCTTAGTGAACGTTCCATGTATTCCTAAAGAGAATATTAATTTTCAGTTGCTGTGTGTATTGTCTTATCAATAGCAGTTGGGACAAATTAGTTAGTAGTTTTGTTCTAATTTTCCTTATCCTTTCTTGATTTCATTGTCTAATTGTTCTATCAATTACTGAGAGACAGGTTTGAAATGTCAAACTATTTGTATTTATTTCTCCCTTTAATTTTGTCAATATACTTCATGTATTTTGAAGCTCTGTAACCAGGTAAATATAAATTTAGAATTTTTATATCTTTCTGATCAAATTGACATTTTTCTCTTTAAGAACTGTATTTTTCTTAAATCACCACACCTGTCTGACATTAATATGCCACAGTGGTTTCTTTATGCTTTCTTTACATGTTTTGTATTTCTCCATCCTTTCACTTTCAACCTGTCTCTGCCATTGTATTTCAAATTGAACCCTTAAAGATGGTATTTATTTGAGTCTCACTTTTTAAGTTCTGTCCTTTAATTAGGACACTTTGTCCATTCACATGTAATATAATTATTAATTTAAAGTCAATGGTCTCGTGGTTTTTTCTTATTGGTACATCTGTTTCTGTTCCTCTGTTTCTCCTTTCCTAACTTCTTTTAAGCTAATGGAATATTTCTTAGCATTTCACTTTAATTATTCTATTGACTTTTTAGCTATGAGTATATGGATATGTCTTGTTTATATTTGTCTTAGCATTTACTCTAGAAACGACAATATGAATCCTTAATCTATCACAATCTATTTGGACTAATATACAGTTTTACATAAAATATGAGAATCTTATTATGGTAAAATTCCATTTTTCATCTATCATTTGTGCCATTCTTTTTTTTTTTAAACTAAGAGAAGTTTATTTTTATTTGTGCCATTCTTGGCATATATATTTTTCTATCTGTGATATAAACCCTATGACAAAATTGTAAGTTTTGCTTTAAACATACATTACTCAATTTTTGAAAGAAGTTCAAAGATGTTATTTACCTGAATATTTATAATTATCAGTGCTCTTCATTTCTCTTTGCAAACTTGGCTTTCCATCAGTGTCATTTCTCTCTCTATCCTGAAACACTTTTCTTTAGTCTTTCATATTGCAAATCTGCTATTGTCCAATTCTCTAAATTTTGTACTTATAAAATTTATTTCACCCTTATTTATACAGGATGTTTTTTGCTTGAGGTAGAACTCTGGGTTAATAAGTATTTCCTTCTTCCAGTCTTTTAAAGAAATTATTCCATTGTCTTCTGGCCTCTAGTATTTTTTTTTTTTTTTTTTTGGTACGGGGGATCGAACTTGGGACCTTGAGCTTGCAAGGCAGGCGCTGGAACCACTGAGCTAAATCCCCAGCCCCGGCCTCTAGTATTTTTGATGAGAAGTTAGAAATCGTATGTATAATTTTCTCCCATATGAATTGTCTTAGTTTGGACTGCTGAAAAAATACAGACTGGTGGCTTTAACAACAGACATTTATTTTCAAAATTTTGGAGGCTGGGGAGCCTAAGTTAAGACTCATACAGATCTGGTATCCACTTGCTTCCTGGTTGTGGGTAGATGACTTCTCATTGTATCTCTACATGTTGGAAAGAGCACAAGCCAGCTAACTGACTAGTTTGTTGTTGTTGTTTGTTTTTTAATAACAGCACTAAACTTATTCATCAAGGCTCTACCTTCATAGGTTAATCACTTCCCAAAGGCTCTACTTACAAATACCATCCCATTGCAAATTAGATTTCTACAAATGAATTTTGGAGGGGACGCAAGCATTCAGTCCAAAGAGGTAATGTGTCTTTCTGTTGGTTTTTTGTTCTGGGTTTTCTTCCCCTTACTTTTATTGTTGTCTCCTTATCTTTAGTTTTCAGAGTTTGATTTTGATGTTCCAAGATGTAGTTCTCTTTGTGTTCATCCTACTTGGACTTTATTGGGTTTTATTTGGATCTGTAATTTATGTTGGTCACCAGACTTGGGGAAACTTTGGCTATTTCTTCAAATATTTTTCTCCCTGTGGAATTTAAATTGCATATATATTAGATCACACAATTGTTCCATAGATCACTGAGGTTTGTTTATCTTTAAAAATCTATCTCTTACCTTCAAATCAGATTATTTCTATTTGTCTTTCTTAAGGTTTATTTATCATATAACCCGAAGTCTCTAAGCTCTCTACAAGTCTATAAGTCTGTACATAATTTTTATTTTATATATTGCATTTGAACATTTAGAATTTCCACTCAGTTCTTGTCTATATTTTCTATTTCTCTGCTGAGATTCCATGTCATTTTGATCATCTTTTACTTGATGTCCTTGAATGTATTTATAGCAGCTACTTGAAAGTCCTTGCCTACTAATTTTAACATCTGGATCATCTTGGGTTCTGTTTCCTTTTTCTTTTTTTTTTAGTTTGGGTCACAATTGTCTGTTTCTTTGCACATCTGTAAAATTTTGTTATAGCCTAGACATTTATATATTATAGGAACTCTGGATTATGTGCTAAATGTAGAGTTTAGAGAGTGTTATGTTTTATTGTTGACAGTTAAATTCTTTCTGATTATGTCAGGATCAGCTTTGTCCTTTGTTAGAGCAGATCTAATTTAGTTTTTAATTTAGCCTAGGTATGCCTTCACTGTATAATGTGATCTTTACTCCTAAGGTTCTTATTTCTTAAGTGGGAACTTTATTCCTGAGGCATAGTTTTTCTGGAGTATTAATTGAATTCTAGACCATAACTTCAATAATTTCCAGCACCACTCACCCCCTGGCATTACTATTCAACACACAGCCCTACAGCAATCAATCTCTGCTAAGCTTCATGGAGACTTGCCCTGTGCACGAATATATAGCTCAGTCCTTGCCAAGAACCCATGGTACATTCTCATTCAGACTTTTGAGACTTCCCCTCTGCACTGGTGCTTCTCTGTCCCCTGGTATTTCAAATTCCAACTGTTTTAGCAGCCTAGAGCTGTAATCTCTGCCTCATCTGTTCACTCTGCTTTGGCTCCATCTCTCTGGCCATAGCAGGAATGTGTTCCAGGCAGAAAGCTGGGACAATTTTTTTTTTTTTTTTTGGTATCAGGGATCGAACTCAGGTCCTTGAGCTTGCGCAGCAGGCAGCAAAACCACTGAGCTAAATCCTCAGCCCAAGCTGAGACAGTTGTGGGCCTCACTTCATGCTGCTCTTCTTTCAACAGTTATAGTCCAACTTCCTGTTGTTATTTTCCTGAAAAGAGTTACCTCATATATTTCGTTCAATGTTATAGATTATTTCAATGCCAAGGTAAGTCAGGCATCGGTTGTTGTCATTGTGGGAAGCTAAAGTCTCTAAACAAATTATCTGAAAACTATTTTGGAAATATACTAAAGAACAAACACTTGTATGTGATACCAATAAGAAGACCAAACTCCTATAAAGAAAAATATGATTTGTGATCTTCTTTAATGAATGTTTTGAAAACGATCACAATTGGAAATGTAATACCACTGATTCACTCATCAATAGCTACAAAGTGTCTACATTTTGAACTTGATGTGTACCAAAGAAGGATTAAGTCATTTAAACAAATATTCTCAGTAAGTCACATATGAGACTCTGAGAGCCATAAAGAAAACAAGGCAGAGTCCTAATTTCAAGACACTTCTGCTGTACCAGGAAAGACAGATCATTTATACAAAAACAAGTTAAAAATGAAGGCAAGACAGAATATGATTATATGCTAATACTGACTGGAACAAGGAGGTAAGATGATCCCAGCTTCACTTCCTCTTTGACCTGTGGGGATACCTCTATCCTACACTTGGTCCCTTCCCTAGCCAAAGTCACAGGAGCTGGATCAGGACTGGACACCTAACGCAAAGGTACCAATTCATACATAGAGCTTAGACAGTGAGGTTTCCCTCTAAGAATTTGAATGAAGAGGCTCAGAAAGTACAGTCAGGAGGTAGTGGATGTTTAGCCAGTAAAATCATACAGAGTTGGCAGTGGAGTCATCACTAAGGCAAGCCAAAGTCATGACCAACTTGTGACTTTGGAGAAGCAAGAATGAGCAAGTTGTGGCTATGCACAAGCTGCCTATAGAGAGGTCAAAGTAAATGCACAGAAGAAATAGTCCTGGGACAGAGGGGAAAATACAAAATCCTACCTGACAATTTTCTCACTTAATCTCCTTTGTGTATCTAATATTTAATACTTAGAATAGTCTACTACATCCTTTCAATACCTTTTTATTTGATGTGGTTCTACTGGGTGTTTTCCACTGGCCTCACTCCTTATAGCCATTGAACTACATTGGATTAGACAAAAAGCACTGAAAGTAAGCGTTGAACCAAGATAGAAATTACTCCACACTATAGCAGTCAAAGAAGGCTTCATAGAGGAATAAAACCTAAAGTTCCTCCCAAAGGAAAAGCTATGTTTAAATGCAGTAGCATGTGGGTGGCCTTCACAGGCCTCAAAAGTGCCCTTTGCCACCCATACAATGGGTATTTTAAATAAACCATGTTTCCATCAGTCATTGATAGCTTCTCCTCTATTTGCTTCCTGTGTAAAAGGATGAAGTATTTCATTCTTTGAGAGGTCTTAAGGTTTCAGTCTGCTGTGTCTTACCCTCCTTTGGTTTTACATGTTATATTTCAGCCAATGAACTACAGTTAAAACATAGAAATGCTATTAAAACTCTACAGAATTACTTTTTTAAACTTCATCCTGGCTGCATTCATTTTGTGCCTCTGAGATGTAGAATCATTTAGGGTAATACCGGCATTAAATGGGAATCCAAGCAGTGTGTTTTAATTCCAGCTTGGCTAATTCCTTTGTGGGGTCCCAGCACCTTGCCTCACTTACCCTATGCATCAAGAGAGTGAGTACTGACAGCATTGGTCCTACTTCATCTCAGAGCATCATTATGGGAATTAATGAGATCATATTTATAAGAAGATTTGATTTCTTCACTGTGGTAAAACATCAGAGAATGAAAACCCACCCAGCAATTGTTGCCACAGTAACTATAGTAAGCAATAAGATATCTGAGATAAGTGATTTTCTATTTTTTCTATAATTGTAAAGAAAATTGAAAAGTAAGAAAGAGGGGGCAAAGAAATAAAAACCAGCCTTGCTGTGACTTAGACAGCATCTGAGTTCCCTTTGGAAGGAGTTGGAGATGAGTCTCAGAAGGAATATTTTCCTAATCTTTTACTTGGCATTACCACGGCCTTCTCACTGTCCCCTTTGAGAGATCATCAGTGAAGACAGCTCTGTCCTTAACTAGTGCTTTTCTATTTATTGGGATAAATGGTGACATTTGCTGTAGTGGTAGTACAGGTCAGTTTGAACAATTGCTTTTCTGTAAAGGGATCCTGGAGTAGAAGGCAGAAGCTGTAAACAACCTTGAACAGGAACAGTATTAAGTTTGCAATGCCAGTGAAATAAGGAGCTCATTTTGCAGGTTTTGTATGGTCTATGTTTATGTGCAGAAAACATTCTGACATGCTCTGGCAGAAATATCGAGCAAGACTGAATGACTGAGAATGCTCCCTATGAAAAGAAAAGCTAGGAGCAAGAAGGCAACGAACTATCATAAAAGTAATTAATTGTTTTACTTTTTAGTGGTCTGGCAAGACTGCCTTTTTTAAAAAAAATGAATCATACAAATGGGACCGTGTTGTCAGATAGACTGTCCATTGAGACTTAAGAGACTAGCTCCTGCTATAAATTAGGATAATGAGTTAGTTTTTTAAATGTTTTATGAGGTTGAGAAGTGCAATGTCAAATTATTTTTCTTAAATCTCACATTGCTTTGAATGCCTTTCAGAATTCAGAGGGTAACATTTCCTTTCAAAAATTCCTTCCAAGTTTAGTGGCTGTTGTTTTACCAATCAGGTCTTTCTCCAAGGATGGTTTTAGTGCATGATTTTCATGACTCAGCTTAAAATGAACAAGACCCCATTGTTGGCTTTCTTGTTTTCACACCAGCATTATTGACAAGATCTGCATAACTCTTGGAAAAAGGTCTGTTGTCTAACCAAGCTACTATGGAAACCTGATCCAGGCCATTTAGATGCCTAATGCCTTTCCTCTTGAATTTGTGAAGAATTTCAAGAGTGGTCAGACTTTACTTAGAAAATATTCATCAGGGCAGAGGGGTACAGCTTGTTCACTCCATTTCACTTTTCATCTTAAATCAGCTTTGCAAATAGACTGGCCCAGGGGGAAGGCAGCACTGCCCATGGAGTCATTGTCAATTATGGAGATTTCATTATTTTAAGTCTTACATTCTTACAGGGCAGCAGCATGAAATGGCAAGAGATTAACTCCTTTTTCTAAAAAAAGGAAACCCTAACAAAATTGGTAAATGGGGTTAAAAATTGTAGATGCTTGCTCAACATCAGTAAATAGTTCGATATTCATGAGAAGAGTTGAAGTTTTACCTCAAACCTAAAGGTTCTAAAAAGAAATGTAGTTGGTCTCATGAGAATTTTCTTCCCTTCCATCCTTTTCCTTCAGATACCAACAGGAAAAATAAAATAACCCTCATGGAAGATTAAGAAAGAGTCTATGTATCGCCTTAGGGACATATTCTGCCTCCTCTAGAGAGAAGCACCAGGAATGTTCAGGACTGTCTGGTCAAGGACTTTCCTCAGTAAATTCTTCAGGCCATTTCCTTTCCTTCTTTATTGCTAAGTATTCTGAGGCCTTAAAGGGTTGAGGGAGGCTTTACTGCCAATATCTTTAGGTGTAAATCTCATCTCAGTAAAACAAGCCTTGCAAAATTTATAATGTGGTTATTCATGGTTATTTATGATTCATATGTACTCACACTGCATGATGACTGACCACAGCCATCTCTTATGGAACACAGGCCAGAAGGGTAGAGCCATGGAGATGTTTTCTGGTAACATTAAAAGATTCCTCACTATCTGCCAATTGGGAACTGAGTGTCTTCGAATGAGTGACATCTTCTTCTTGGGACTGATGACAGATGATATGCCTGTAGTGTCTCTAGCAGGTACAGAACCTGAGGGGATCATAGACTTTTTTTTCCCTTTGGTCCTCCCTAGAGGTGATAATGCTACATCCTCAGCCATATCCAATGTAACTGTGAGACCAAAGCGACTCCATTTTGCTAAAATCCACTATTCCCCTAGTCTCTATTGTCCTCACAAATTAATGGTTAAAATGTGCTTGCTCTGGGACAAAAGACACAATCTGTAAAGAAGCAAAGTTCCTAAGTTAATTACTCAACCATCTGTTTGCCCAGGAAATGAACGTTCCGGGCCCACTATCTATAGAACAATCTGTCAATGTGCTGACCATCAGTACGTGACAGTCGACCACTAACCTTTGTCCCTCTTTTCCCCCGTAAAACCTACATGTAACCGCCCCTCAAACCCCCGATGGGCCTAGCCAATCAGAAATATACACTTCATGCTTGCTAAATGCCAACCAATCTGCTAAGTGGAAAATCTCCAAACCTCGCTGTAACCACAATAAAAACCCCGCTAATTTGAAATTCGGGGCTCCCAATTCTGATCCGCTGCGTCGGTGACGGTTGGGAGCCCCTGCTCGAGCTTGAATAAACGGCCCTCTTGTGCTTATATCGGAATCGCCTTCCTGGTGGTCTTTGGGACTTCGTGATCTGGGCACAACGTAACAAGATAACCTAGTACACAGACTCTGCTCTAATTACACGTCAAATTCCAAACTCTTTTCCTGCCAGATCTTTTATGCAGGATAGAAATAAATTCTGTCTTTCCCTTGTTCTTTTGCTCAATTTATGGAGATGGTGTCAATAATGTTAGTGCAAAAGCAAAGCAAGGAAAGGAATTTGAAAAGTCCAATGCTGATTTATTCACCCTCAGTGGGCAGGAACTATAGTACTTCCTAGTCCAGAGGGTCTAGCTGGAGTTAGGGTACAGTTTGGGCTTTTTCAGATTTTTCTGAGGAAAATAAACATTCTCTCACAGATTTCTTTATTGAGTCTAAAATATCGGCACAGAGCTTTCAGGAATGTGGTCAGATTCCTGGCAGACTCAATGAGACACAGATTCTGGGGGAAAGACTATTTAAAATATTAGATTTCTTAACTGATTCAGTGTATAAACCTTATTGAGTAACTGACTACAAGGCACTGTTCTAGATGCTTGGGATACATGCCTGAACAAAAGTGACAAAAATTTATCCCTTCATAGAGCTTACATTCTAGAGGAAACAGATAATAAAAACTGAATAAATGACAAGGTAAGAGGGATTAGAGTGTTAAAAGGGTGCTTTTTTTCCCTAGTACCGGGGATCGAACTCAGGACCTTGTGCTTGTGAGATAGGCTGTGGCACTGCTGAGCTCAATCCCAGGCCCAGAAGGGTTCCATTCTTATTTTAAACAATGTTGATTAACTAGGGTGGCCAGGGTAGATTTCCCTGAGAAGTAAAATTTGAGGAAAGGAGCTTGACGGTGAGGGAGTCAGCCATGGAGCCCTGTGGAGGAAACATCTCCAGATGGGAAGGACAGACTAGACAAAGGTCCTCAGACCAGAGCCTGCTGGCACCTTTGAGGACAGCAGAGAGGCTATAGTCAGAGCAGGGTGAACAAGCAGGATGGTAGTAGAAGATGTCAGAGGTAATGGGGTGGGACAATGCAAAAAGAGGATGCAGGCATTATAAAGACTTTGGGTTTTATTCTGTGTGAGATGGGCTCCTAGACACTTTGAGCAGAGGAATGACATGATCTTCTCTATTAAAAGGACCATTCTAGCTGTTGTACTAACAGACTCTATGGGAATGAGAGTGGAAGCCAAAAGATCAGTTAGAAAGCTGTTACAATAATCAAGGTGAGGGCCGCGGATTTAGCTGAGTAGTTCAGGTGCCTGAATTACAATCACAAAGTCCCGAGTTCGATCCCCGGTTCCAAAAAAAAAAAAAAAAAAAATCAAGGTGAGAGATGTTATGGGGGTCTCAGACCAGAGAGGGAGGAATGGCAGAGGGTGTCGACAGAGAAAAGGAAGATTCTGGATATATTTTAAAGGTAAAGCTGGAAAGATTTGCTGACAGGTGAGTGAGTAGGTAAATGAGTGAATGAATGGCCCCTGGAAGTACTGTGATAAACCCAAGCAGGGAAAAAACATCTCAGTGTCCAGTGACAGCCACCCTGTCCCTCCCTTGGCCCCAAAGAGCTGGGGCAACAGTAGCAGGGACATCAACAACTCCATGGCTGCTTGGCTGTGCTTGGTCCTGACCCGCCCTAGACTTCTGGCTCATTCGTCCTATTTTTCTCCCTGACTACAAAGCTTTAGACATCTTCAGAATTATGTGTCAAAATAATGTTAAATTTACATTTAGCAGTTTATTCATTTATTATGCAAATATGTTTGTAGTGCCTATTTGGGCCAGCAGTTGCTGAGTTTGGGTGTCAAGGACAAGACTCTTGGAATCATGATTTGGTTTATTCAGCTGTGCTGGGATTTCTACTCAGTGCCTGTGACAATATCATTTAATTTCTCCCAACAACCCTTTGGGATAAAGTCTGGTGTTGCACCCATTTTACAGATGAGAAGACTGAGGCTTTGAAATGTTAAATAGCTTTCAAAGATCACAAGGTGATGATGGGCTGTTATATGAAGCTAGGTATGTCTGACCCACTCTCTATGTTCTAAAACAGGAATTGGCAATAACATTTGAATTTTCATGTCATGAAACGTTATTCTTCTGATTTTTAGTAACCATTTAAAAGTGTAAACACAATTCTTAACTTGTAAGTCATTTAAAAGACAGGCAGGTAGGGAGCTAGATTTGGCCCATGGACCATAGTTGTAGACCCTTCTTCTAAAAACTGAAGTTCCTTTCCTAATGAGCTTAAAACCTAGGAATTTCCCACACACACTGTGTCAATTAAATTTTGATCCTCTTAACTCTGAGATTTAGGGAAGAGGAAGTTGAGGCCCACAGGGGCTATCACTTGCTGAGAGCCACAGCAACTGGCCCAGTTCTGCTGGATATATTTGTGGTCCTCCATTTGGATCATTTCCCTCTCCTTGCTGTCTGTAGAAAGCAGAGAGAAGCAGCCTCCTAGGAACACCACCAGGGTCCATGCTGACCCTCAGTGTGCTTAGCTCGGGGTCCTCAACCATAAAATCTCAAGACCAGAAAGGAAAATAAATCCTGGGCTTGAGAGGAGACTTAATATGGACATGTAAGGGATTAATTATACATCTTTTAAGGGTCTCGGCTTCCAGCGTTTGGACTGAACATAATCATTGTCTCCTGCCAATCACTTTGCTTTGGATTTAGCTGTCTCCCTCTATTTCCTCTGCCAAGCTCAGGCAGTCCTCCTAAGTGGCAAAACGAGCATGCCCCCTATATATGGTGAGAGCTTCTCAGCCAGGAGTGTTCAAGACCTGCCGTACCAGCTGTACTCTTCAGATTCCTTCTGCAATCTGACTATGACACCCAAGACAAAATGAGTGGGCATGTAATTTTGGTTCCACACTAACTATAAGTCTTTAAAAGAATGCATATTATAATTTCCCCTTCCTCATCACATATAATTTTAAGGAACTTTTAGGTAAAAAGCATTGATTTTTAAGAATCAAAGAAAAGGTGCAATAAACCTCCTACTCCCTTTGAAGGGGGATAGGATAAAACAGCATCCTTGGAGAAAGAAGAGGATAGTATTTGAGAGGTCAATGGCCTGATCTTTCTAGGAGTTGCCCCTCAAGTGACTTCTACTGAATGGGGAGCAAATGGCAGGATGCCTGCCCCACATCATAAGTGAATGGCCCCAGGGACGGCACTGGATCATCAGTGGAGATGCCAGAGACTTCAGAACTCTTGGCCAGGCTTGTAGAGATGATCTGAGATTGCTGGATTCCTCTGTTGGTAACTGAGATCAAGAGAGCAGATAGAGAAGTGAACAAGGAACGGGGAGCTGGCACTGTCATGTGGCATGGTCCAAGGTGAGATTATGAAGAAACAAGCCAGGGAGAGGAGAAGACATAAAGTAATGATGGAATCCTGGAGTCAAGACCTTCCCTGAGCCTCCATTGAAGTCCAGTTCACACCTCCAGTTCTGCCTCCAGGATGCCCTCCCTACCCTACCAACATTTCTGTTCTTTTAAATCCCTTTCTGTTAAATCTCCTTTACTTGAGTTTGCTTGAGTGAGTATTCCTATCAATCAGAGTATCTGATACATCCAATCACCTGCTCATTCACTCTATTGATATAAAGCATAGGTAAAACAAAGTTGCTGCCCCTACGAAGTTCAAGTCCTTATGAGAGAATAAAGATGCTAAACAAACAGGTAAATAGATCTTCTATCAGATGCTAGTAAATAAAATGGAAAAATATGAAGAACTGACAGGGCAGTGGGTGAAGAGAAGTTCTCACTGATAAGGTGATATGTTAGTAGAGACCTTAGGAAATAGAAGAGCCTATCTCACAAATAGGTGAGGGAAACATTCCAGGCCAAAACCAACATAAATGCAAAGAAGTCCAGAACAGTGGGGAAAGAGAAGCATTTATGTTTTCATGCAGAATTGCACAAATTTCAATGTGTTTTTATCAGACCATGTTTCATGTGTCTGAGAATCAGCCAGGGGATCCAGGTTGCTGGGTTGAGTGAGTGAGTGTGAAAGCAACAGAAGATACATCAGAGAGGCTGTGAGAATTTTCAGATTATTATTCATTCAACAATCATCTCTATTGAACCCTACTATGTGGAAGTATCTGGAAAGGTCCTGGAATCAGGAACTAAGATCTATGCCTTCTATCTTCAAAAGCTCCAAATTTCACTCCAGCCCATCTGAAACTAATCTGCAGCTGGTACTTTCTGTACTAAATAAAACAAATTCATTAGGAGAGAAAAAGTGATTAAGTTATTCACTTATTTCCTGGGGCTAGTGTATCACATGGAAAAAGATACAGAATGGCAGGATTGCAATGAGACTTTGAAGTTGTCTTTATCTACTCAGCCCCTGCCTGTAGAAAGGCATGGGCCCAAATTGCCCGGAAGCGCAGCCCTCTCTCCTGTGCTTTGAAGAGATCCAAATGAAGAATTTCCATAGCTTTCTGTGGAACTGTCATGTACCAACCCAACACAGTGAGCTTGTACAATTCTACATGAAAACATAAAACCACGCCCCAGTTTTCTGCTACTACCAAAAATGTCACCAGGTAACCCAATTCCTTCATTCAAATGTTATTTTTAGTGAATGTAGGAAAAAGAAAGTATCACTATGAAGCTGAGAACAAATCCTCTGCATGTGCCTCCCTCTTTCATCTGCACCACCTGTGGAGGAAGAGTGACACTTGGCCAGTCTCATACAAGAAGATGGTATCTGACTAGAGCCCCAAATGATCATGCTTCAGTCAAAGGATAGCTTTGTCTTTTCTCTTGCTCAGAAAATCAAAACTGTCCCCAAATTAAGTTCCTAAATGCATAATAACTCTGCTAAGTAATGGACTTGAAAGTAATTTATCATTTCCCCAGAGACAGAAATAATGTTAATAACTATAATTTGGATACAACTACTTTTCAGATTTACAGTCCAGCCAACAGA